ATTCCTCAGCCTGTGACAAGATGTGCAGCCATTCGTTTCCAAAGGAAAGGCCACCTGTCTCTTAGCACCTGCTTCCATTGTTTTCCCCTGCTTCACAGAGTTCCTTCTCCTCTAGTAACCCCTCTAAAAGCTTAAAGTTCCCTTGATCCCCATCACTACCCAGAAAGCATTTCTCTTCCACACAGTCCTCTTTCTCTAAGCCCTCTTGGCTCACGCCTTCTCCCATGGCCCTTCCAGCCCATTTCCCATTGTCCCCTCCTTCCAGGCAGCTCTATGGTCTTAGTTAAAACAAGGGAGGTCTGCTGACTGCACTCAACCTCTTGCCACATGGCGAGTTTCCAGCTTTACAGATGATGCTATCCCCAAATGTAAACAACACAACCACAAAGTCTTTTCTTTTAGTTCTTATCTGGGCTGATCTGAGCAGTGCAGTTTTGCTGCTTGGACTAATGATCTGAGCTTTATGGACATGAGGTAGAAGATAAAGTATCTTGGCGAGGGCAGCAATACATTTTCCCTCTAAATTTTAAAAGGATGGAGAGAAAGGTTTCCCACTGAGCTCCTCTGACTGCCTCTCATTCTTTTTCTGTAACTTTGAACAAGAACCAAGACCTCTTTAGTTTTGATCTGGGAACTCTGAGTTTGAGGGTATGGAGGGGCAGTAGTATATGAGCTTGTCTTGGACCCCAGAAGTGGAAAAATTATCTTCCCCCACACCCACAGAACCACACTGATCTTGGCGACCTGACTCATTCTCTGTTGCCGTGCCAATGCCATTGACTCTAAAAAATTGGTTCTTTCTAGCCTATTGATTCCAATTTCCTTCCTAGATGTTAGACAGAAATGAGAATAGCCTGCTTGGGGAGGGGGCTTTATCAGCATTTTTCATATATCGGGACACAGCTGCAGTGACCAGCATCTGGGTTTTGTATCTAGACCCACAAAAGGCCCACAGGTCCTGATACTCCTTCAGTGTGATGGAATTTGGTGGTCTGACTTCATGGGGTGTCACTTTTGTCAGAGAGAAAAGGAGATTTTTGACAGGCCACCAGATTTATCCTTAACATCCCCATACGGAGCTTCAGGGCACCTGACCAGTGTTAAGGAAACCTTTACTTGATATATCTGGGTTGCCTTTAAGTGAAGTATAGAGCTGTTCTTTACACTATCTCAGATCTTCCTTGTCTGCGCTGACAAACAGAGCCAGAGTCAATCCCCATTGAAATATGAAAGGATACCGTCTCTGGTTGGAAAGACTGGTAGCCAAAACCATAAATGGCTAGAGAGTAGCCAGCACTGTCTAATCATCTGTCAGGGCTATTGCCCAGATGCTTTGAGAGCTGTGAAACTCTGGCCAGTGTAAACTACATCTGAGTGGTTTTCAAAATGGGCCAGATTCTCATTCCTTTCTGTAGTCCTTTTGTTTCAGGCACGTATGGAGTAAGTATTGCACTAGATGACCTCCCGGGGCCTGTGATCCCTACTCATCCTTCACTCTCCTTTCCTCTCCCCCCTCCCGCCCATTTCTGTTTGCACTCATCTCACCCCCACATTAGAGCGTAAGCAAGCGTGTGCTTATCAGGAGTCCTGGAGGCTGCTGATTTCATGTGGCGTTTTCTGGCTTCCTGCCACAAAGCAGGGTTTAGTCTGATACCCACACATTGAAGGAGGTGGGCACTTGGGAGCTGACTTCTCAACATCGTTTAAGGTCCAAGAGTTTAAGGTGAGAGTCAGGGAGGGGACAGGGCTGCCATAGCCAGAGGACAAAGTAGTTCCCATGACTCCTAGAGCAGTGAGGTCTGGGCCTCAACTGTTAATTATTTCTCTCCAGTTTCTCTCATCTTGGCTCACCTAAGGTGGGTCATTTGTCATACTAGCCTCTTGAGGGTTTGTCCCCAAAGCAAGTTCCTGTATTTAGAAGTAAGTTGGTAGTATTTGCTTGTGAATCCCTCTGGTCAATAACTATAAAAGGTAAATTTGTGACATGTGAGAGGCTTGTTTGCTTCTTTCCTGATCTGGAACATTTCTAGAAAAGAGTTCATTTAGCCCTGCTAGCGTGACTGCTTGGTTGAGCATTGACCTATGAACCAAGAGGTCACAGTTCGATTCCCAGTCAAGTCATATGCCTGGATTGCAGGCTCAACCCCTAGTCGGGGATGAGCAAGAGGCAGCCATTCAGTGATTCTCATCGATATTTCTCTCTCTCTCTCTCTCTCTCTCTCTCTCTCTCTCTCTCTCTCTCTCCCTCCCTCCCTCCCTCCCTCCCTCCCTCTCTCCCTCTCTCCCTCTCTCCCTCTCTCCCTCTCTTTTCCTCTCTGATATCAATGAAAATATATTTTTAAAAAGGAAAGAGTACACTTATATTTTTGAGACACCCATGAAAAACGTAGCACAGCCTTCAAGCATTTGACTTACTAACCTTATTACCCACTTCTTGCAAGAGCACTTTATCTGGCCCTTCTGCCCTATTCCCTGGGATTACGAATCATGATTTTAGGAGAGAGACTGTTGTAAGGCCCATGTAAACCAAGGCTCCCCTCATCTAATGCACTGAAATTAATGCTATTCCTCCTCTACTCTGGGTGTACCCACCTCACACCATCTGACCTTTGGGAAAAGGAAAAATCAACAGATTTCAGCCACAATTGTCTTATCACAACCACTTTCTCCTTTAAGTGTGAATGCTAAGTCACATTTAACCTATGACCTCTATGAGGGACTGAAGCCATTGCTTCTCTTCTGGGAAGGTGAAACCTCTGTGGGAAAAGATGAAGGCACCACACTCCATCCCCTGATTTGAAGGGAAAGGGTTGATTAGAAGCATGGACAGCCAGCAGTGAAGCTAGTGGAGGGAGGAGGACATGGATTTCTTCAGGGCTCCTGCCAGATATACATGTGCAAGGAAGAGATTATCTCAAGGCCAAGCAACCATGGTCTAGATAACTAGTTTAGAGATTCATATGCTCCTCACTGGGCTCTTTTTTTAGAAGGCTCCTCAGTTAGACCAGAGATTTAAGGAACCGTGGCCAATTCTGACATTTGGAGTTGAGTTAGTCAGGCAGGGCAAAGGAGGTTTTTCATGCAGCAGCTGTGGGGCAGTCTCGGGCCTCAAACCAGAGCCAGTTCATCTCGAACAGAGACTGGTTCACCCTCAGGAGAGAGCAGGGCCATTCTGGCAGTGTGCCCAGGCACGTTTGTTCAGCACCGCGCAGGGGGAAGTCATTCATAGCAGGGTTCTCTGTGTCAGTATGCTGAGAACACATGCTGTTCTGGAGTCTGTCGGGAGAAGGCCTTTCGGATAAATCCCAAGGTGCATGGTCGAGCAGTACCAAATCCAGGACTTCTTATGACTTGATTTGTGTACATTCAGTGGGCCCCTACTCAGTTGTTTCTTTTCTTCCTTTTTTTTAATCTCCTATCAGGCTAATCCGAAAATAATTAAGGTACCACCCTAAATTCACTTTTAAATATTACTTTCTAACTCTTCATCTGGTCTCTTTCGTCTCTTCTGTCAGTCCTTACAGACAGGTAAAGGCAGATGAAGTTTATTCCTATTTATTGATTAAAACCTGAGGAAGCTTAAAGGGAGAAACACCATATTGACTAAAATTCTACTTGCAGATTCTCTGCTTCATGTCCTTTTCAAAGGCCCTGACAACCTTTCTTGACGTCCCAGATGCAGGTCCCTGGTAATAACAACACTTACCATTTATAAGATTGCATCATGCCAGGCATTTTCTGTTCATCTCCTCCCCTCCCCTCATCCTCCAATTATTTGAATGTTGGCGCTCTTTTTAGTAAAAGGCGAAAGATTTATGCGGTCTGAAGAGAAACCAGAGCATGGCGCTCTTTTTAAATTGAGATCTGGAAAAGTTGTGATGCAGTGACATCAGGACTCAAAACCAGGTCTTTCAAATTCTGAAATGGATGTCCTTCGTCTTCCAGGGCCCTGCCTTATCTGACTAACTTCGTGTAGACCAGTGACCAAAGAGACTGGCAGCTTTCTTTCACCTCCAGCTCAAACCCTAGCCATAGCTGAGCTGCCCCTGGGAGAACAGTAGCTTTGGAAAGTTGCAGGCTGTTGAAAGGAGACACCCTTTCTTTGAGAAATGGAAATGAGCCATTTAATGGTGATTTGCATAAGTAGAAAGAAATAATGTACCTGTGTGTTCAAGATCCCTCTCTGCCCTGCTTTCTACACCTTATTGCACCTTTGAACATTGCTTTTATTTAGTTGAATTCAGAGTGTTCTCGCCTTAGCTGGTTTGGCTCAGTGGATAGAGCATCAGACTGCAGACTAAAGGGTCCCAGGTTAGATTTCAGTCAGGGGCACATGCCCGGGATGCAGGCTTGATCCCCAGTAGAGGGCATGCAGGAGGAAGCCAATCCATGATTCTCCCTCATCATTGATGTTTCTATCTTTCCCTCTCCCTTCCTCTCTGAAATAAAAATATTTTTTAAAGAAAAAAAAGAAACTGCATTCTTTAAAAAAAAACAAAAAAAAACCTATTCTCCAATGTTATCCTACCTCCTTATTCCCTTCAATTCTCCATTGCTGTGCGAGCACTGTGATTTCCATGGTGACGGGACCACCAGTTGAGCTTGGCTCGTACAGGTTTATCTGGTCAGAGGAGAGTTAGGGGCTGTGCTTCCAGGTGAGCTGAACTCTGAATGAGGCTTTCTAGGGGGTTGCCTTAAAGTAGTGATGTGAGCAATGCTATATGGCTATAATGAAAGCACAACTGAGCTTCATGCAGAAAAGCCCAAGCTTGCCCCTGCTATTTCTTAAAAGAGTCTAGCCCTCTCCTCCCCTCTACTACCCCAAGTTCTCAAATTTGTGTTAGGAGCCATCCATTCCTAGCCTCACCATCTCCGTCCTCCCTGTACTTAGCTTGCTTCAGGCCATAGAAGGGACTTTGTTTCTCCCTGGATTTTGTAATTCTTGATAACAAATTGTTTCTCCTCCCATTCTCTTTTCTTCCCTCTTTCTCCCCCACCAGAGAGTTTTCAACGTCCTTTATCCCATGCCTGCTGACCAGCGGAGACATGTCAGCATCAACTCTGCTCGCTGGCTGCCTGAGCCTGGGCTCGGCCTGGCCTATGGTACCAACAAGGGAGACCTGGTGATCTGCCGACCAGAGTGAGTGGTTCAGGGGCTGGTGGGGTGGATGTGGGAGGGACCATCTGGGCTGCGGGCTGGAATAATCAGCACTCACCTATGGATCTAGCTGGTGAGGGGGTCTTTTAGAGGGGAAGTCTAAATTCTGCTAGAGCCTGCCTCATTCTCATTGTCACTCCTTAAAAAGTCCTTTTCACTCAACAGATGGTAGGGTTAGCTCTCCATTCCAGAAATCTTCAAAAGACTGGTTTACTTATTTTGTCTCTTAAATCTAAAGCAGTATGTTTTGTTTGTTTCCCCTTGTTCTCTGGTGATAATAAAAGTTTCTCTGCAGTCAAAAGCATAGATATCAAATATTCTTTTCTAAAACCTCTTTGAAATAGCCAACAGGTAATCTTAGGTATGTGTAAAAGCCTTAGAAATGAACTTAAGAAATAAAATTGGGAATAAGGTATTGTTAAAGCCCTAATTTTTAATATTTTTTTATTAATTTCAGAGAGGAAGGGGGAGAGAGAAATAAACAACAGTGATGAAAGAGAATTACCAATCGGCTGCCTCCTGCACCCTCACACTGGAGATGGAACCCGAGACCCTTCAGTCCACAGGCTGATGCTCTATCCACTGAGCCAAACCGGCTAGGGCTATAGCCGGTTTGTCAAGCCACTGATCTCTAACCACCTGGCTCTGTGTCCTGCCTGTTTGCCTTTCTGCTGGAGGCTCTGGCTCATAATAGAAAAGGCAGATTGAAAAGTGCAATTTAAAAATTGAAATGGCCCTGGCCTGTGTTCAGTGGTTGGAGCACAATCCCACACACTGAAGGGTCTCAGTTTTGACTCCTGGTCGAGGGCATATATTTGGGTTGCAGGTTCCATCCCTGGTCCGATTGGGGCACATGTGGGAGGCAACCAATCCATAATATGTCTCTCTCACATTGATGTACCTGTCTCTCTGTCCTAACCCCTCCTACTCCCTCCCTTCCACTCTCTTAAAAAATCAATGGAAAAAAATCCCCAGGTGAGGATTTATAACAAAAATCAAAATGATTATTATCTAGTCCTGAAGTAGGGAGTAGGAGGGGACCCAAACCAAAGCATTTCTGTAGTCAGTCCTGATTATCTCCTTCCTCTTCCTCTGGCTTTCTGGAGGATAGAGATCTATTTAGGCAGGACCCTGGGAGTCAGCCAAGCCTGTCATCAATTTCCATGCCCATCCAGGTGGGGAGTGTGAAGCTCTGTGCTTCAGTGCAGATTAAGCTGACTGCGGAGTGGGCCGCTGCAGGGTTCCAGCTTACTGACTGCCACTCCTGCTTCAGGCCGTCCTAATGCTGCCCTTCACTGAGTATAGAGTCTCCGTGGGTGTTCTGCAGATCACAGAGATGGGACTGTCTGGTAGGGTCTCTGGGATTGTCCATGCTGTCTTTTGCTAGGGCCCTTGATGATTTTTCCAGGGTCTGTATTTGGGTCAGATCTTATAGCCTGGTTATTGAGTCCTTATTTGAGCTAGATTATTGGTCCAGGAGAAAGAAAACTTGGTTCTAAGGGCAGCTCATTCCATTTGGAATTTTCAGGGCCCCTCTCAGATAGAAGCTGCTGCCCGGCCAGTGTGGCTCAGTGGTTGAACATTGACCTATGAACCAGGAGGTCACAGTTCAATTCCTGGTCAGGGTAAATGCCTGGTTGCAGACCTCCTCTCTAGTAGGGGGCACGCAGGGGGCAGCCAATTGATGATTCTCTCTCATCATTGATGTTTCTGTCTCTCCTCCCTTCCTCTCCAAAATCAATAAAAAACATTTAAAGAAAAAAGAAAGAGAGAGGCTGCTGTCTGAACCTGACCTGGTCAAGCTGCTCTTGGAGCTGGCAGACTGCTTGGCCTGCAGGCCGAGCTCTCCTCAGGCTCTGTGTCCGGAGGGCCCCTTCCACGAGCTCCTGGGCCTTTCCGGAGCCCAGCCTGCCTGTCATGACTGTGCCACCATCAGCCTCGGTACTGGGTCTGTTCCCTTCCGCTCTCACCGTGGCTGCTCATAGTCCCAGGATCTGTCTTCCCTGAAATACTTATTTCCCCCAAAGTATACGAGTCTGATTATCTTGTATCTTCCTCTTTTCTTTGGAATTCATAGGCATGTTTTCTAAAGCTGGCCCAGAATCCTGGACTTTAATTTTATTCTTACGAACACGGTAGTTGCAGGCGTTTCTTTCCCTGTTTTTCCAAGACATCCTTCCTCAGCGTTGTTGTCTTCTCTATGGATCCAGCCACTAACCTTCCTCCAAGCCCCCACCCCTTGCAGACGTGATCTGCTCTCACAGAGGCAGAATCTCTACCTCCAGCTAGTCATGGCCCCCGAGGACTTTGATGTCTGAAACCCCAGCCCACGTACTTGCTGTGAGTCATAGACACCTCGGAGAAGCATGAAGCTGGCTTTGGCCTATCTTTCCTCACCATATGTTGTCTTCAGCAGCCAGAGCCTCAGCAGGCCAAAGCCATCTTGGACTGCTTGGGGAACTCTCTTCCCACCAGGAACCGAAGCCTCTTTTGTGAGCAGGGTGGCATTTGACACAGAAAACAGCATCCCATCACAAATCAAGTCATGTTGGACTGAAGGAAAGCTACCTTAGCCGGCCTATTTCAGTGTTGCTGTTTTTCCTGATTTTTTGGGTCATGTTAGCAAATGCTGCAAACCTTAGGGTTGGACATTTAAAGGTCCATGTATATTAAGATGGACGGACTTTGACCTAAGTCATTCAGAGCTTCTCCAGTTCTGAGTCCCCTTCATAACTGTATGGTTGGTTTGCTTCAGGCAGGGAAGACTGAACAATATTCAGATGAGGTAGAGTGAAAGCTCACCGAAGGCCTCCCAGAAGATCAATGAAGGAATCTGGGCTTCCTAACTTTCCAATCCAGAGCTCTTTTCCTGTAGCTGGTTTTTAACTTTTTTTTTTTTTTTTTTTTTTTTTCAATTAAAAAATCCTTTAAAATTCTGATGAGCCCTGGTCGGTGTTATTAGAGTGTTGGCCTGTGCATCGGAGGGTTGCAGTCTATCCCTGGACCTGGTCAGGGTGTGTGCGGGAGGCAGTCAAATGATGTTTTTTTTTCTCTCTCTCTTTCTCTCTCTCTCCCCCCCCCCCCCCTATACTCCTCCCACTCGCTCTGAAAATCAATGGAAAAAATATCCTTGGGCCGAAACCAGTTTGGCTCAGTGGATAGAGAGTCGGTCTGTGGACTGAAGGGTCCCAGGTTCGATTCTGGTCAGGAGTGTGTACCTTGGTTGCGGGCACATCCCCAGTAGGGGGTGTGCAAGAGGCAGCTGGTCGATGTTTCTCTCTCATCGATGTTTCTATCTCTCTCCCTTCCTCTCTGTAAAAAAAAGTCAATAAAATATATTTTTTAAAAAAGAAAAAATATCCTTGGGTAGGGATTAACAAAACAAAATTTTTTTTACTGAATAAATAAAATTCTGATTAAAGCCATGCACTCTCTTGCACAGAAGAACATACTAGAAGAACACTCGTGTAATTGTAACTCTCTTAAGACCTCAGAAAGAATGCAGCTCTGGATGGGGATGATGATAAGCATGTCGGTGATGGGTGCGGAGAGGGCAGTCTCTCTGTTGTCACTATGGCTGGTCTCAGGCCTAGAATCAGGAGAACGAATACAAATGGAAAGAAGGAGTTCAGGCTGTTGTCTCTTTAGAAGGTTGCTGCCTATCCTTGTGTGACGCAGCTCCCTGGCACACCCGTTCCCAAGGGCACAGGATCCAGCCAGCCAGCTGGGCCAAGATTACAGCCCTCCCACCAAAACAGGTGGTTTCTGCCTTTGTCCCAGGCACGGGCAGCTGCAACTCATTTTGTGCTCTCAAGTCTACTCTTGATTTCTCCTTCATTGTCTTAGCCTCAGTGCTCTCTCCAACCACAAAGACAGGAGTAACAAGCTCCTTGGGCATCTCTTAGTGGTCCTGAAACTCCCCCCGACAGTAGAAAAAGACCTAAGGAAACACTCCATCTCTCTAGGGAAAGAAATTCTTAGGACCGGTGAGGAGAGGAATAACTGGCCCTTCAGACCCTGTACAAAGCCATTACGGTGAGGTGCGCCTTTCTCCTTGGCTTTGCTCCTCCACTGCCACTCCTCCGAGCTGCTGCTCTGCCTCTGGCTGACTGCCAGCCCAGCCAACACCCCCACCGATAACCACAGTGGGTGTGAAATACCAGATTGATGTGAGGGGGTGCTTGCTCACTTCCGGCTTCATAGATCAGCCCTACAAATGGGAGAGAGGTGTTGCTGGGAAGACCACTTCTCAGAGTCAGCTCAGAAGGCAGAATTCACAGAAAAAAGTAGGCTCGGGCTGTGGGGCATCTGGTGTTTGGCCGAGTGTGGGGCTCCTGATGAGGTCCCAGCTCTGTCCCCTGAGAGGGAGCTGCCACTGTAAACAGTGATTACAATCAGGAATCATTGACCACAGAGGGGAAAGGCACGCCTCGGAATCAAAAGGGAAGCCACAGCGACTGTCTTTTAGGCTGTTTGTCCCACAAGAGCCAGGTGCCAACCCTTTCCCACGTCATAGAGATAGCAGGGATGAATACCGGTCTCAAAACAGTCCTTTTTTTCCAAGGAGACAGCCGTGTAACCGGTAGTTGAAAGAAGAGTGTTCTCAAAGGGAACATTCCCTAGAAGTTGGGAAGTTGAGAGCCAGAGTTCCTTGTGGAGCGTTGTCCCCACTGAGGAGGCCGGGCGGGCGGGCGCCTGGTGTGCTCAGAAGCACAGCTTACCGACGCTGCTGGAAGAAGCCAGGTGTTAAGTGGAAGTCCATCTGAGAAGGTGACCTGATTTGCCTTGCCATTCTTCTCCATCCCTTTGTGTGTTTGCCAAGCTTTCAGGAAGAACTTGGAGCAAACAGTGACTCATTCATCCTCATTAAGTTTCCTGAAGGAGGTGGTTGGGACCGTTGGCATTGAAGGCTGAATTTCCATGGCCAGAGACATTTCTTCAACTCTCTTCCTTGGTGCCTGGAATTTTCAAATCCTTGAGCTTGTTGTAGTTGAGTTGTTCCAACCACAGAAAGGAGCCATATCACGATTAGAAATAGACCTGTTGGTGGGGATCAGAAAGGCTTGGGGGGAGGGGGGAGAATGCAGCAGTGTATCTGATGCAGTCTATCCCGTTCTGTTTCAGTGGCCAGAGTCCCCAGCGCTGAGCCAGATGGGTGGGAAGAGTTTAAGGGGGACCCTTTGACCATCAGCATCACACTGGCAGTCCCAGCTCTGAGTGGGCCTTCAGTGGTCTCTTCCCTGTGATGAAAAGGAAGTTTCTGGTACATGGTTTGGTGTGAACAATTTGTTGTCAGTAACCAGCCCTGGCTAGCAGGAATTAGAGAGGAAGGATTGGCAGGGACCCACATGGTATTGCCACCTGTCAATAAATCCTGACAAGTTTGCAAATCAGAGGCTCCCTGGCAGCTGGCAGTGATGGCTTTGTTTTTGAAGGCCTCTGCTGTAGACTTGTGGCCATTTGCCTAATACAAGATCTGCTCCGCTCACCATCACTCTCCAGTGTCCGTGGTTCTCAGACAAACCCATAAAGCAGCTGAGTGTTTGGAAGAGAGAGGAGATGCTCCTTTTTAAAGGAGTGGTTTGAAGATCACATCAAGTCCACAGCCCCCAGGCCCTCTGGGAGTTGTCGGGAGGATTACATAGAGCAGGGAAGGGAAGAGCACTTTTGTCAGGCTGGGGCTCTTTCCCTCCAAAATCACTAGTGTGTCCTCAGGTGAATCCTGTCCCCAGAGTCATGGCGATCCTCTAAAACGGGGGCGGGGAACATCCAGCTGGCGAGCTGTATGAGGCCTGAGAAATCATTTGGTCTGACCCTGGCAAGGCATTCAGGGTGAGTTAATTAAATATAGCAGCTAATTTTTAAGTTGATAATTTTATATGGCCTGCGAATGACATTATAAACATCCAAATGGCCCTTGGCAGGAAAAAGGTTCCCACCCCTGCTCTAAAGACGGGCTTGGGGGCTCGGTGCCAAGGCCTGTTTCCTTTTACTGCGGAGCACAGCCTCCGACATACATCCCCTCCTCATCAAGTCCTGCCACATCCCATATCAGGATGATATATATAGTCCTTTTGTTTAGGAAGGAAGCACCTACACCACCCTTCACAAACCTCCTGGCTGACCCTCAGAACCTGCTGCTCCCCCTCACAATCTCACCTCCTGGCCGACCCTCAGAACCTGCTGCTCCCCCTCACAATCTCACCTCCTGGCCGACCCTCAGAACCTGCTGCTCCCCCTCACAATCTCACCTCCTGGCTGATCCTCAGAACCTGCTGCTCCCCCCCATAATCTCACTTCCTGGCTGATCCTCAGAACCTGCTGCTCCCCCTCACAATCTCACCTCCTGGCCGACCCTCAGAACCTGCTGCTCCCCCTCACAATCTCACCTCCTGGCTGATCCTCATTACCTGCTGCTCCCCCTCACAATCTCACCTCCTGGCTGATCCTCAGAACCTGCTGCTCCCCCTCACAATCTCACCTCCTGGCTGATCCTCAGAACCTGCTGCTCCCCCCCCATAATCTCACTTCCTGGCTGATCCTCAGAACCTGCTGCTCCCCCTCACAATCTCACCTCCTGGCCGACCCTCAGAACCTGCTGCTCCCCCTCACAATCTCACCTTCTGGCTGATCCTCATTAACTGCTGCTCCCCTTCACAATCTCACCTCTTGGCTGATCCTCATTACCTGCTGCTCCCCCTCACAATCTCACCTCCTGGCTGATCCTCAGAACCTGCTGCTCCCCCCCATAATCTCACTTCCTGGCTGATCCTCAGAACCTGCTGCTCCCCCTCACAATCTCACCTCCTGGCTGATCCTCATTACCTGCTGCTCCCCCTCACAGTCTCATCTCCTGGCTGACCCTCAGAACCTGCTGCTCCCCGTTACAATCTCACCTCCTGGCTGATTCTCATTACCTGCTGCTCCCCTTTACAATCTCACCTCCTGGCTGACCCTCAGAACCTGCTGCTCCCCGTTACAATCTCACCTCCTGGCTGATCCTCATTACCTGCTGCTCCCCCTCACAATCTCACCTCCTGGCTGATCCTCATTACCTGCTGCTCCCCCTCACAGTCTCATCTCCTGGCTGACCCTCAGAACCTGCTGCTCCCCGTTACAATCTCACCTCCTGGCTGATTCTCATTACCTGCTGCTCCCCTTTACAATCTCACCTCCTGGCTGACCCTCAGAACCTGCTGCTCCCCTTTACAATCTCACCTCCTGGCTGATCCTCATTACCTGCTGCTCCCCCTCACAATCTCACCTCCTGGCCGACCCTCAACCTGCTGCTCCCCTTTACAATCTCGCCTCCTGGCTGATCCTCAGAACCTGCTGCTCCCCCTCACAATCTCACTTCCTGGCTGATCCTCAGAACCTGCTGCTCCCCCTCACAATCTCACCTCCTGGCTGATCCTCAGAACCTGCTGCTCCCCCTCACAGTCTCATCTCCTGGCTGATCCTCATTACCTGCTGACTGATTTGTTTCCTCTTCATGGAAGAAGTTCTGTCTTGCTGAAACCGGTTTGGCTCAGTTGATAGAGCATTGGCCTGCAGACTGAAGAGTCCCAGGTTCGATTCCAGTCAAGGGCATGTACCTTGGTTGCAGGCATAAAACCAGTAAGGGGTGTGCAAGAGGCAGCTGATGGATGATTCTCTCTCATCGATGTTTCTGATTCTCTATTCCTCTCTTCCTCTCTATAAAAAAATCAATAAAATATATTTAAAAAAAAAAAAAGTTTTGTCTTTAGAGAAAGGTGACCTGGGCCCATAGGTTAAAAAGCTGACTTTCATTGGAGATTGTCATTGTCTGCGCAGGCTGCCATGAGAGAGTATCATGGGCTGGGTGTCTTAATCAATGACTGTTCTTCCTTACACTCTGGAGGCTGAAACCAT